GGGAGCGGAGGGAGGGAGGGAGGGAAGGAGGGCCGTCACGAGCTCCCCTTGTTTCGCGCTTCAGCTAGCTGGAATCGCGACGACCCTACATACGTACGTGCCGCAATGTACGTATAATGCTGCCGCGGTGCCAAGGGAAGTAACTAGCCGCGCTCTAATAATGCGGCACCGTTCGCTATCACTCTCGTGACCGTCTCTCGCAGCCGTCAGTGCTCTGTCAGCGGGTAACATCTCGCCGCGCCGTCTCCTGCTCGCGAAATCGCGCAATTCGCCGTCGTATCGTCGCGACACGCCGCGCAAACCCCGCCGTTCCTCCTTCGCGAGAGAACGCGCCGTTAATTGGATAAGTATCGCGCGAGACGACGAGAAAGAGAGAGAGAGAGAGAGAGAGAGAGAGAGAGAGAGAGAGAGATAGGTAGAGAGAGAGAAAGAGAGGGAGAGAGAGAGAGAGAGAACCGCCGTTTGTCACGCGACGAGCGTCGTATCGTCGAGAGCAGCCACGGTGAGTGAGTGCATCCCCGGAAAATCCATATTGATCGTTTGAGAACGGCGAAAAAAGAAGTCTAAATCCGCGATCGATTCGAGCCCCTCGTTGTCCTCCCCCTGCCCTCTGCGTCCTACTTTCCCTCGCTTTTGTTCTCTTCCTTAGCGGAAGTTGAACGAAACCGACCGAGCTACTTCTCTCTCTCTCTCTCTTCCTCTTTCTCTCTGTCTCTCTCTCTCCCCCCTCCCTCTCTCTTCTTTTCCCACGATTTAAATCGACGCGATTAAATCTTTCCCCGATAGTGTCGAACGCCCGACTCGATCGATCGATCGTCACGGCAAGTCTCTCGCCCATCGGCTCGCAGATTCTCGTCGATTTCTCGCCGTCCGGCCTTTCGGATATCAGCGCGCGCGTTCGGGCCTCCGCTGTGCGACCAATAAATCCTAATTTTTCATGACATTAACGCGCGGTCTCGCCTCGTGTAAACTTCCGCGTACGACGTTCCCGTGGACGCTGCGTGTGACCGAGCGTACGTAGGCACGCACGGAACACGTAGAAGGAAGTTGCTAATCAACGTGGACCTTCGTGTGTAACTAGAGAATACTATCCTACTAATCCCTCCTAACGTGTGTGAGACAGAGGGAGAGAGAGAGAGAGAGAGGGATAAACGCCGACGCGTTATCGGGCACACGTATCTCGCGCGCAGAGTCGCTATTGCGAATCGGCCAGCACCTAAGGACACCTGAGTCCTCGGAAAAAGGCATTTCGCGCGGTGCACCGCGTCGTCCTGGTCCGTGATCGCACCCCGGGGTCGCTTTTGCGTCCGCCAACCGTCTTTCCCGTTAAATTTTCAATTTGCGTGAAACAGCGAAGTCGCGAATGTTTGTGCTCGAAATGAATGTTAGAACATTGTCGCAAACAATTAGAAATGCTTGGATATGCAGTCACGGTCCACGACGATTATCACGCTTTGCGAAGGAAGCTTAAAAGAAGATCAGAATTTTTGTGAATTTGAGCTTTTTACTTGAATAACACAATATTGCATTTGTTATCGTGATTCAGCCAAAAAATTCACATCTAAGTGTTATAATAGTCGTTATTTGAAATTTGTCACAGATGTGATACTCAGTTTTGTGGATTCAGAGCTAAAAGAGAGTTTTCTAGTTGAAACGTGCGATTAGAAATATAAATATCACATAAATTACAATTCAACTGAAGCACTTAAACAAGACTCTGAATAAAACTTAGTTATTTTTTGGCTGAATCACGATAACAAATGCAATATTGTGTTATTCAAGTAAAAAGCTCAAATTCACAAAAATTCTGATCTTCGCTTTCAAGCTTCCCTCGCAAAGCGTGATAATCGTCGTGGACTGCATATCCAAGCATTTCAGACTTGAACTGAATTTTCAAACTTGTTTGACTCGTGCAATTTTCAAACAGTCAAGGATTTGTGCTTGATTTTTAGATGATGAAATTGAAACATATGGAAACTTTCTTTCTCTGGCATTAACTTTGGTCTCTATTTAAAGCGCGCGCGATAACGTTCATGGGGTTTCGGAAAAACTTGGATTTTACGGCTTGTCAGTTTCTCAGACCCATATTAATAGTCATCATTTGAACCTCAGATAAGATTTGGATTTAAAGCCATGTCAATATTTGTCGAAACTTGTCTCATATGAGATGGTCGAATTTTTATTCAGAGTCTTATTTAAGTGCTTCAGTTGAATTGTAATTTATGTGATATTTATATTTCTAATCGCACGTTTCAACTGGAAAAGTACTCTCTTTTAGCTCTGAATCCACAAAACTGAGTATCACATCTGTGACAAATTTCAAATAACGACTATTAACACTTAGATGTGAATTTTTTGGCTGAATCACGATAACAAATGCAATATTGTGTTATTCAAGTAAAAAGCTCAAATTTAAATCTAAACTTGGATCTGGATATCTCGCGTGGGGGACAAATTTTAAGTAATGATGCCTCAGAAACTGACACGCGAAGTCGAGAAAGGCGAAACACCTGCGGAACGTGAGAGGAGATGCTTGAGACGCAAACAGTATCGATAACAGTTAATAATATTTGCAATGATAATATTTATGACGACAACAATGCTCGGAGATATAACGGATGGTAATGAACGTTGGAGTCTTCCAACTTTACTCTCTCAACTTGGAAGTTCCCAAACTATACCCGGTCGTGCGACACGAATCGCCGGGAATATCGCCCGGAAAGCCGGAAGTTGTCCTGAAAGTGTCTCGAAAGTCTCGGATTCTTATGTACCGATAACAAACGTAGACGTGCCCGAGAAACGTGTGGACACACACACACACACAGATCGCGGATTGCAGCGCGACAATGCAGTCGACCTCCAAGACTCCCGAGACGCCGGAAACTTTCGAGACTCCCGACACATTCGGCGGCTCCGAAAATATCCCGGGAACTTCCACCGCCACACGTCCGCAGCATCCCGACACACGATAATCGTCGTGCAGTATCGCGCGATCCGACGTGTCCTGAGCCCGTCACACACTAGTTGCGCGGTTCGTTGCAGCCGAGCGGGCACGATGAAATCACGAAATCCAAGTTCCTCGCGGACCGGCAGATCGGAGATCCTGCTGGCGCTGAGTCTAATCCTGCTCCTCGCCCAGCCGGACACCTGCCACGGCTCGCCGTCGCACCGTAGCAGGCATCATGAGCACGACCACGAGCACGAGCACGCGGACTCGTCGCGCGAGGACGCCAGGAGCGCCAGGTTGACGAGCGAGGAGCTGCCGCGACCTGCCGCCTTCACCAACGATCCGCTGATCGTCCGCACCAAGAAGGGCTTGGTCCGTGGCAGAACTTTGGCCGCCACCACAGGCAAGGAAGTCGACGCCTGGTTCGGCATACCCTACGCCCAGAAGCCCGTCGGTACGTTTCTCCTGCGCCGAGAGTACCGAGGAGAGAAACACCGGAGCAGTGGTCGACGCCCGTCGTCGGCCGCTGAATTTAGCACGATCGTCCGCCAGATTGTCCGTCTGTCTGTCTGTCTGTCTGTCTGTCTGTTCTTCTTCTCGATAAGGCCGTAATCCTCGAGTAATCTCCGAATCGAGGGAGAGAGAGAGAGATAGAGAGAGAGAGAGAGAGAGAGAGAGAGAAAGTGAGAGAAAGAGAGAGACGCGGGTCGATATCGCGGCAGAGATTACTACGTCCGTCTGATTAACGAGTGACGTTAAATATACAAATAATATAATGCGCTTAAAGTGTCACTCCGGGTGTCGCACTTCCATCATTGTGATCTTTTCTACCGTGTCTTTAATACGCTTTTTCGCGACGAAGGGCGCTGGAAAATTCGCGATAGCAAGCAAGTGGCTTAACAAATGTCAAAGTTACCAATTGATCCCAATTGATCGCGTCTCTGGACTTATTGAGCGAACGTTAAACGTTGCGCCGGTGTTGCGCGTCTGAGTGAATGGTCTTGCTTTCCAGCAAGAGACACAGCCGACACAAGGTGATACAATATTCGCCACCTACATCGAAAACTAAGTGGTGGTTCCACCAAGCGGCTTTATATACAACGTCTCATTGTCTGGCACTGCGTCCGTCTGTGTCTTCTTGTTGGAAAGATGATTTTTCTAACTGCCATGCGCCAAAATCCAAAAAAGTCGGATAGCTCGAGATTTTTCGTCAATTACGCGCGCAATCGAAAAGCCGAAAGCCGGGAACGACCGACGACACTTTCGATTACGAGAGAGCCGCCTTGAATAACTAATCGCGCTCGCGGTCGAAAATCGAGAACGACCCGTCGTCAATCGACGACTACGGCGCGAGAACACGCCAGCAGACACACGACACAGCGACCGACAACGACGACGACGACACCTTGGAGAGGACCCCGCTCTCTCGACGTAGTTTGTCGCAGGCTCCCTGAGATTTCGGCATCCGCGGCCGATCGAGCGCTGGTCCGACGTGCTGAACGCGACCACCCTGCCGAACAGTTGTGTGCAGATCCTCGATACGGTGTTCGGCGACTTCCCGGGCGCGACCATGTGGAACCCGAACACGCCGCTTAGCGAGGATTGCCTGTACGTGAACGTGGTGGTGCCGCGACCCAGGCCTACGAACGCCGCTGTCATGGTATGGATATTTGGTGGTGAGTTCCCAGTGACGAGAATCATTCCCCAGCACGCTCGCACGTCCGTACCATCTCAGCCAGACGTGGTAGATTTAGGACGCAGTCCGTGTAGCTACAGTGCGCGCGGCGAAGCGCACACAAGCGAAGAACTGTGTGGGCTGCTCGTCACAAATTATAGTGCTTGGCGCTTCAGTAGCGCTATACTTAGGCGACAGTTTCCCGAAAAGTGGAAAAGGTAATGTTGGTACCAAAGAAAATCTCTACACGATATAATTTAAAGATTCTGTTCTTTGCAACTGCACTGCTAAATTGGTGCAATAAATTGAAATGAGGCAAGTATATGTTTTCTCACTCTAATCTTTTGCATGAGTTCAGCAGTGCAGTTATTAGATGGTAAACTTAGTTCCTACGGCTCATAGTTAGATGACGTTAGTTGTAGGT